ACACATTTTGACGAAGCATTTATTCATATTCAATATTTCAAGATACAGGCTCTGGCTGTGTACAGGCCATCTCGTATCTGTCCATTCCATCAATGTGTGGCAACATGGTTCCTTACAGTTTCCTACCGGCCTCATTTCATATATGACAAATGACATAGTTGGTGGGGAAAGAGCAATGAGAAGTCAGAGAGATTTAATAACTGAATGGCTTGGTCACTTCATATGCGCATGGACGAGATAAGAACACAGGCATGATCAGTGATTTCAGGTCTATAAGAGAAGCAATTGTAATAAACTATGTAGATTACCATGCATGTTGCCAGAAGCTACCTCAGCCTCTAGAATACTTAAGTCTAATTGGTCTAACCAATCGTGAATCGTTTACAAATGGTTTAGCGTCAGTTGACGGTAACACAGACACCAACACATGTGCCTGCCAGTTTTTTTTTTTTTTTAAAGGGGTGTTTGAAACCCTAATAAAGCATAAACTGCAGCGCAGCTAAAAATGGGTGCCAGGAAATAAACATTGATTTACTGATTTAAGGATTGACATCATAGCACGCCGAGAATATCCGTAGATGCTCCCTCTCCCTAGCAAATGTAGTAGTCGTTGTAGTAGTAGTAGTAGTAGTAGTAGTAGTAGTAGTAGTAGTAGTAGTAGTAGTAGTAGTAGTAGTAGTAGTAGTAGTAGTAGTAGTAGTAGTAGTAGTAGTAGTAGTAGTAGTGGTAGCAGTAGTAGTGGTAGTAGTTGTTGTTATTGTAACTGTTTTGTAGGGTTTGTTGTGATGTAAATGACAAATACCTCAGTGGTCACAACATTGAGGTCAGATATATCATTCGATGTGGTCGTCTGCTTCTTACGCTCAGGGGCTGTGAGCTTCGTCGACTGCCCTGAAAAGGGCTGATCACTTTATTTAATAGCGGTAGTATCAAAGTGAGCAAAATGGTGAAGTCATCAATGAACAGAAAATAATAACAATTCAAGTTGGTCAACAATAACATAGGTAATTACAATTTTATGTGACATGAACTATGCTATAAAAGACTATGAAATAATGCTTACATTCAAATAACAGTATACCATTCAACGCAGTTCAACTTTTTAAATCCACATGAAAGCAGATTATCGTTTTAAAACTGACCTTGGCTCCCAAGTCAGCCAGGCCTATATTAGTTATCAAGTAATGTACTGGGACATGAAAGCAGCCAGTGGGATGACGACATCACACATCGAGTGGGGGTTTTGGGGTTGGGGGGTAACAGCAAAATCCAGCCAGTGTATTCAGCCATTGAACAGCTAGTGTATTTAGCCGTTGAACGGCGGTGTATTTGGCCATTAAACAGCCAGTGTGTTTAGCCATTAAACAGCCGGTGTATTAGCCATTGAACAGCCAGTGGTGTATTCAGCCGTTGAACAGCCAGTGTATTTAGCCGTTGAACGGCGGTGTATTTGGCCATTAAACAGCCAGTGTGTTTAGCCATTAAACAGCCGGTGTATTAGCCATTGAACAGCCAGTGGTGTATTTAGCCGTTGAACAGCCAGTGTATTTAGCAGTTGAACAGCCAGTGTATTTAACCATTGAACAGCCAGTGTATTTCGCCGTTGAACAGCCAGTGTATTTAGCCATTTAAAAGCCAGTGTATTTAGCCGTTGAACAGCTAGTGCATTTAGCCGTTGAACAGCCAGTGTATTTAGCCGTTGAACAGCCAGTGTATTTAGCCGTTGAAAGGCGGTGTATTTGGCCATTAAACAGCCAGTGTGTTTAGCCGTTGAACAGCCGGTGTATTTAGCCGTTGAACAGCCTGTGTGTTTAGCCATTGAACAGCCGGTGTATTTAGACTTTGAACAGCCAGTGTATTTAGCCATTGAACATCCAGTATATTTAGCCGTTGAACAGCCGGTGTATTCAGCCTTTGAACAGCCAGTGTATTTAGCCATTGAACAGCTAGTTATTTAGCCATAGAACAGCCAGTGTTTTTAGCCGTTGAACAGCTAGTGTACCTAGCCATTAAACAGCCTGTGTATTTAGCCATTGAACAGCCGGTGTATTTAGACTTTGAACAGCCAGTGTATTTAGCCATTGAACATCCAGTATATTTAGCCGTTGAACAGCCGGTGTATTCAGCCTTTGAACAGCCAGTGTATTTAGCCATTGAACAGCTAGTTATTTAGCCATAGAACAGCCAGTGTTTTTAGCCGTTGAACAGCTAGTGTACCTAGCCATTAAACAGCCAGTGTATTTAGCCATTGAACAGCTAGTGTATTCAGCCATTGAACAGCCAGTGTATTTAGCCGTTGAACAGCCTGTGTATTTAGCCATTGAACAGCCTGTGTATTTAGACTTTGAACAGCCAGTGTATTTAGCCATTGAACATCCAGTATATTTAGCCGTTGAACAGCCGGTGTATTCAGCCTTTGAACAGCCAGTGTATTTAGCAATTGAACAGCTAGTTATTTAGCCATAGAACAGCCAGTGTATTTAGCCGTTGAACAGCTAGTGTACCTAGCCATTAAACAGCCAGTGTATTTAGCCATTGAACAGCTAGTGTATTCAGCCATTGAACAGCCAGTGTATTTAGCCGTTGAACAGCTAGTGCATTTAGCCATTGAACAGCCAGTGTATTTAGCCATTGAGCAGCTGGTGTATTTAGCCATTGAACAGCCAGTGTATTTAGCCGTTGAACAGCTAGTGTATTTAGCTATTGAACAGCCATTGTATTTAAGCATTGAACAGCTAGTGTATTTAGCCATTGAACAGCCAGTGCATTTAGCCGTTGAACAGCCGGTGTATTTAGCCATTGGACACAAGATCTTCAGACATCACAAAGAGCTCGCCTGATTCCTGCCTACATCGTGGAATTAACTTCTCTAAAGGAATAGCTAAAAATCTGCAAGCAAGCTTTTCGCGCTCTGTTAATCGTGTTCTTACGTATTCGCTCATCCGTAAACGTGACACTGCACTAAACATTAGCTAAAATAATTGATTAACTGTACTTATAGCAAAATAATAATGAGTTCCATTTCATTGTTTCACAATTAGGAAATTCACCTACACTTTATTACCCTCCTAATTTTCTTCTCCCTCCTCCTCCTCCTTCTCCGGCTCCTTCTTATTCTTCTTCTTCTGCTTCTTCTTCTGCTTCTTCTTCTTCTTCTTCTTCTTCTTCTTCTTCTTCTTCTTCTTCTTCTTCTTCTTCTTCTTCTTCTTCTTCTTCTTCTTCTTCTTCTTCTTCTTCTTCTTCTTCTTCTTCCTCTTCTTCTTCTTCTTCTTCCTCTTCTTCTTCTTCTTCTTCTTCTTCTTCTTCTTCTTTTTCTTCTTCTTCTTCTTCTTCTTCTTCTTCTTCTTCTTCTTCTTCTTCTTCTTCTTCTTCTTCTTCTTCTTCTTCTTCTTCTTCTCTTCTTCTTCTTCTTCTTCTTCTTCTTCTTCTTCTTCTTCTTCTTCTTCTTCTTCTTCTTCTTCTTCTTCTTCTTCTTCTTCTTCTTCTTCTTCTTCTTCTTCTTCTTCTTCTTCTTCTTCTTCTTCTTCTTCTTCTTCTTTTTCTTCTTCTTATCCTCTACCTCCTCATTTTCTCCTCCTTCTCTTCTTCTTCTTCTTCTGTTTCTTCTTCTTCTTCTTCTTCTTCTTCTTCTTCTTCTTCTTCTTCTTCTTCTTCTTCTTCTTCTTCTTCTTCTTCTTCTTCTTCTTCTTCTTCTTCTTCTTCTTCTTCTTCTTTTCTTCTTCTTCTTCTTCTTCTTCTTCTTCTTCTTCTTCTTCTTCTTCTTCTCTTCTTCTTCTTCTTCTTCTTCTTCTTCTTCTTCTTCTTCTTCTTCTTCTTCTTCTTCTTCTTCTTCTTCTTCTTCTTCTTCTTCTTCTTCTTCTTCTTCTTCTTCTTCTTCTTCTTCTGCTGCTGCTGCAGCTGTTTCTTCTTCTTCTTTTGATTCTTCTTCTTCTTCTCTTCTTCTTCTTCTTCTTCTTCTTCTTCTTCTTCTTCTTCTTCTTCTTCTTCTTCTTCTTCTTTCTTCTTCTTCTTCTTCTTCTTCTTCTTCTTCTTCTTCTTCTTCTTCTTCTTCTTCTTCTTCTTCTTCTTCTTCTTCTTCTTCTTCTTCTTCTTCTTCTTCTTCTTCTTCTTCTTCTTCTTCTTCTTCTTCTTCTTCTTCTTCTTCTTCTTCTTCTTCTTCTTCTTCTTCTTCTTCTTCTTCTTCTTCTTCTTCTGCTGCTGCTGCAGCTGTTTCTTCTTCTTCTTCTTCTTCTTCTTCTTCTTCTTCTTCTTCTTCTTCTTCTTCTTCTTCTTCTTCTTCTTCTTCTTCTTCTTCTTCTTCTTCTTCTTCTTCTTCTTCTTCTTCTTCTTCTTCTGCTGCTGCTGCTGCTGCTGCTGCTGCTGCTGCTGCTTTTTCTTCTGTGTTGCTGCTGCTTGTTCTTAGATTTCATCACCATGTTTTACTCTTTCACTCCTCCATTACCCTTTTTCGCCCCTGTCTTTCTCCTCCTACTCTTTTCCATCTTCGTTGGGGGTGGGTTTTGATCAACCACTCCTCCTTTTTCTGGTACTTCTTCTGTTGATGTTTATGTTGAGATACCACACGTATCTGTTCACTAATGCATTGAAAATACACCCAGAGGTTCAACAGAAAGAAGACCATACAAACCTTTTGATTTACATGGATCCGACCGTCTAAAGTTCGCTTCTCGTATTTGACTGGGTCGTGTTTCTTCACAAGATCTTAGGACTTAAGTTTGCTAATGTTCAGTTCTGTATCTGGTGTACGATATATCAAGTCAGATCTGACACCCGTCTCTCGGAGTGTGGACTATTGTTGGAACTGATACACCAGGTAACCGGCTTAGTTACATACATTTCAAAATTAAATTTATCGTCCTTTATATTTCTCCTTTTTGTCCTCCTCTCATTTATGAGTGTCGATCTTTTTCCAGGACTGGTGTTGATCTGACTGTCGAAGAATAATGCTTGAGTACAGCGCGTTAGGTCTAAACAGTAAACATAAAGACGCCGTGCAAATCTCAAATTTGACTCTGCGGACAGTCCGCGCTCGCATGGACGTTTATAGAATTGTTACTTGCGTGTTCGGTTCTAGACTGAATCCTTAAAATTCCATTCGTTCTTGCGTTTGCTGCAGGATCTTGGACTTGGTTTTCCAGGTAAATTACCGCGTAGAGTTTTGAGAGAAAGAGAAACACCAAAGCAACTGAATGATTTAAGAGAAGTGCTAAAGTTAGTAGTAACGTTTTTAGGTACTGTCGACTGGATGTCAAGAAGGTGGGTATAAACGCTAGCCAGATGACCAGTGTAGTAGCCACACACATGGACATAAAGCGGGACTCGTTAAAATTGTCGGGTAGCTTTCTGGTTTTGAAGGCGAAGATCGAGCACAGAAGAACCAGGGTGAGATTGTAGGCAAGGAACGATGCTAGTCCCGGCAGTGTGAAGTCACAGGAAAGCTCTACAAAAGCTTCTGATCGCACTGGCTGAGTTAGAATGGCAGTGGGCTTCTCTAGGCCAGACACCAAGATGCTGATGATAACCTGTGAAAATAACATGTCAGAAATAGTTGTTATTTTCCTATATATTATATTACAACACATGACAGTACATAATACCGGACAAAGACTCTTTCTACTGGTATCATATTTCTTGTATATTGATTTTGTAATCGGAGTTTTTTACCTGGTAATATTTAATTTATAACTGTTTTTTATGTGCCAGCTCTATACCTGATGTTTCTTACCCCTGGCCGTTGATTATTTACCAGCTCTAAACCAATGTTTCTTACTTATTCTCTTTTGATTGTGTAACACCTCTATACCTGATGTTTCTTCCTTCCTATCTGTTGCTTATGTACCAGCTCTATACCTGATGTTTCTTACCCCCATCAGAGGGTCTGGCCGGCTCACTACACTCAGAGGAAAGGCAAGACCAACATACAACAAGATTGTGACTGGTACCATCAGTATTTGAATTCTACGCTGGCTGCTGAAGATGAGGACGGAGCATGCATGGAAATACACTGAGTGCTGTGATGTCAATTCTTGACTCAACTCAACTCCATCTTATCTCCATCTGTTGATTAGGTACCAGCTCTATACCTGATGTATGTTACCCCTTATCTGTTGATTATGCACCATTTTATACCTGATATGCTATTTGCCGATACGAACCATAGGCTCAGTCTTCATTTAATTGTTTAGCTAGAACATAGGTTCCCAATCTTTGTTTGGCCCACCACTCTCTTTTCAATGAAAAGTGCTCTTACCCACTCATGCATATAGCTGAGCCATCAATGTATTTACACTCATCTTCTCTTACTATCAGTCTCTAGCTTCATAAATTGTTTCAAGAGTATACGTATACGTTTAAAGGCTTTGAGACTGAGGGGGCTGCACAAAGTTTCCTGTACCTTCATGAGCTCATCTACTTTCCATTACCAAGGTTACTATAGTGTGATGGAATCTACTCATGTTGTTCTGTATTGAGCATACGATGGCTTGAAGGGTTGATAATGTGTCTGTGAATATGACAGTTTATTTTTTAACTAAAATGCATTATTCAATCTATGCAGTTGAAAGCAGAAGTGTTGCCTCTGCTCTAAAATCGGTCTAGTTTCCCTTGCGGTTATCTGGTGTGTCTCTGTGTTGCCATTTTGATGTATAATGTAGTTTCATCAACTATAATAGAATTTTGTCGAAAGGTTTATTAGTTTTAGTTTCGACTTTTTTGTTATACATGACAACTACCGTATTACAGTAGTCAGTACTAAATGTTCTCCGCTAAAGCTGAATATTGGGCAGCGTTTACCAAACCTAACATCTCACATTGTACCATCGGACGGAGAAGAGCATTAGGAAGAAGAACACTATTACTTATCCCAGGACGAGGATATGTACCTGGGTTCAAATCCGCATCATTTATCGTCAAAAATGCCCTTGTCTCCCATGTCGACACGGCTTGAAATAGGGGCCAGGTAAAGTCATGCGAAGCAAAAGCTGCCGGTGGTATGTTGACCACATCATCCCCCGAGTGCCACTTGGGCTATCACTATATACTACACATAAGGGAGTTTGGGGGGGGGGGGGGGGTCCTTTACTTTGTTTTCGAATGTGTTTCAACTTAGTTTCATGTCTTTGGTGATTCTGCGGTTTCATTTACTTGCGTTTACAAAGTACAACCGTGTCATGTATAACATTGGTGAAGTGATGTAAGAAAACATAGTAGTCTAAAATATCTGCTATAGTTTTAGTTCATTTAAAATAACATGTGCCGAAGATTAGTGAACGCGTATCACAGTAATTGTGCAGTTTGTGTCACTGTTATGTGCTATAACCACTGCAGTCTAATAGACAAAACAGAGCCAGTAACTAATGGTGTTTTAAACATATTCTGTACCTATTTTCTTGTTTCTCACTCTCTATAATAACACTGCTTTATTTGCGGTAAAAATAGGCATTCCATATCACTGCATATACATGAGCCAACTGTGTGTGTGTGTGTGGTCAAAGTAAAATAAAAATAAAAATTACCGGAAATTGCTTTGAACGCAAATAATAATACGAAATAGGCATTCGAAGATAAATGAGTTTGTTAAATGCGAATGATTAAAAACTATTTTAGAACAAATGTCAAATTATCACTGAATACAAAACAAGAACAAACAAATTGTTGTCGGTAATTGATGAAAACAAACCTGCACATGATAGGCACTGCTGTCATCAACAGATATTGCTAAGAACGGTGAGAATGTAAGCAATGACAAGTTGTGACACATTGAACATTGGAGGGAGAGGGGTGTAGAGGGAAACCAAGAAAAAAAGATTCTCGAAAGTCTGGCATCGTGGCCATGGGGGGGGGGGGGGGGGGGGTGTAGCATCAGTATCAAAAATGCCTGATAGTACACAAGTCAGAAGTCTGTGAACAGCAATGATGACCAAAGTTCCACAGTATAGACTGAAGAAAAAGGCGAAACCGTGAACAAAATTATACAAAGAGAAAAAAGCTATGGGCTATAGAATATACATTAATAAACACAGAAATACGTCATTTTTATGGCACAAGGGTAGTAACCACGTTGCAGAAACAACCATCAGATAGATGGTGTATTATCGCTGTCGGAAAGACACACGACCATTTGCCAATGTCGAAAGTCCACCTGTCTTCTAGACATGCCTGTACGGCAGATTGCGGACCTCTTTCCGGCGACTATACTGCGACCGCCGAGAGTATCCCTCGCGCGCCACATTGTTTGAGTGGAAACACTTCAGTAAATTGGGACAAAGCAAAAGATGGAGAAGAAAAGACGTAGCGGGAGACCAGGATAAAAGACGTTGGACAGTTAAGCATTGATGAGCATCTGTAACATAAATTATTGGCAGGAGACAGAATGCTCTGAACACACATGTTGACTAACGTCAAAAGGTATAGGTGGAAAGAAGAATTAACGTTGATACATAGTATTTCTTGGCAGTGGGCGCAATAGTGGTAGTTATAAGCTTTTCCACATCGGCTCTGATTCAATGAACAGGGGAACAGATAGAGCATCCACACCAGATGAGAATGGTACAACAAGAGCAGATAGTCTGCACGATCATTATCATCATCAGCTCCCAGCAGGTCTTCTACAGAACGTCACTCATTTCACGGCAGCCTTGAGTATATCTACTTCTTGAGCCAATTCTCCAGCCCTATCTGCACCCGCTACCACCGCTATCTCCAGGTCACCAAGGCGTTTAACATGGCCAAAACACCCACGCGCGCGCGTCTGCGGATCCAAAGGTCGTGTGTTCGTGTTCTGACGATGCCGGACTTTTTTTTCAGAAATGACCTTGGCTACCAGGTCCACCCAGCCTTGAATGGGTACCAGGTATTGCCCTGGGAAGTAAAGGCGGTCGTCGTGATACATTCATTAATTCTTTTATTCATTCCTTCCTTCATACTCCTAATCTTCGCAACCCCTTAGAGATCCGTGACATATCAAGGCCACAAACAGTAACATTTCTCCTGGTTTCTGTAGTTTGGACAATATTCAGTATGAGATGGTATCTGTAACAGTTGATTATTATCAACTGGTTTCTGCTCCCAGGGACGACCATTTCCGGCACATCTGTTGGCCATTAGTTTCAAGGATTGGGGGAGGACGGAGAACTAAGACCGTACACCATACTGAACACTGAGTTACTTGTTATATAGTGTGCACTTAAGGCGATTCTTTGTAAGTAGACAGGTTTGTTCAATTCTAAATAGAGGGTTTACAGTTCAACGATATCTTGTCCTGCAAAAAGAGTAACATAAACATTTGTGCAAGAAACACATCGTTCTCCGTTGTTCTGTGTTCACATCACCGATCAGCCTGTTGTAATGTAACCATGACAGACAGACAGACAGACAGACAGGCAGGCAGTAGGCAGGCAGGCAGGCAGGCAGATAGATAGATAGATAGATAGATAGATAGATAGATAGATAGATAGATAGATAGATAGATAGATAGATAGATAGATAGATAGATAGATAGATAGATAGATAGATAGATAGATAGATAGATAGATAGATAGATAGATAGATAGATAGATAGATAGATAGATAGATAGATAGATAGATAGATAGATAGATAGATAGATAGATAGATAGATAGATAAGATAGATAGATAGATAGATAGATAGATAGATAGATAGATAGATAGATAGATAGATAGATAGATAGATAGATAGATAGATAGATAGATAGATAGATAGATAGATAGATAGATAGATAGATAGATAGATAGATAGATAGATAGATAGATAGATAGATAGATAGATAGATAGATAGATAGATAGATAGATAGATAGATAGATAGATAGATAGATAGATAGATAGATAGATAGATAGATAGATAGATAGATAGATAGATAGATAGATAGATAGATAGATAGATAGATAGATAGATAGATAGATAGATAGATAGATAGATAGATAGATAGATAGATAGATAGATAGATAGATAGATAGATAGATAGATAGATAGATAGATAGATAGATAGATAGATAGATAGATAGATAGATAGATAGATAGATAGATAGATAGATAGATAGATAGATAGATAGATTGGTTGATTGATTGATTCAGTAAAATAGTCATTTATTGAGTCATTGATTGACTGACCTGCAGATAGACTGTGACAACATTCCTAATGCATACCTACCTGGCCCATGACGACGATGCAGGAGATGACCACCTGAGATAGCGGACTGACCAACTTCAACCCTCTGGTTCCTTTAGCAGCTGAGCTGAATATTCTGTAAATCCTGATAGCCTTAACGAGCAACGGAGCATACAGCAAGTCAAAGGAGAAGCAAAACAGCCAGTAGGCAATGCCACACATAACTTGTGTAGGTGGTGCTACATAAACAAGCATAGTTATATAGCCCAGTAATATAGCAAACAACTGGAGAAAACTCAGTTCCCTGCTAGCTGCCTTGATGATTCTGGCTTCTCTATAGTACACATATGCCATGAAAACTCCCACGGCTATGAATATTCCTAAACAGCTAGTGCAAGTCTCAAAGATAACAACGGTATCTGTGAATATCGGGTAGTCCGGAATGATATCCTTGCATGTGGTCAAATTTGTTTTAGCTTCTGGCCATTTGAAAATTGGACACGGCAAACAAGCTGTTTGGTTTGTTGTAACGATTTCATTGTCGCGGCACATGCGACATTCCCAGCAGCAGGGCAGCTCTTTCTGAATTTTATATTCGCCCACCCCACACAGACGGCTACAGACTGACACGGGGGTGTCCTTGTCTTCTAGAGGAAATGGAGGAGTTGGTAAGATGGCATTTGGGGGAAATACATCTTGCAGAGGCTCAACAAACTTCCATGAGATAGAATTTACTTTTGTTAACATCTTGGGGCTTGCGGTGTCGATAATTCTCACAGGAACTTGCTTGATAGGGCTGTCTGGGAGGATTTGGTTGACCACGTATTTTCCCATCATGTTTCCTTCATCATCGAAGTGAATATGGCCACTGTAGCCTGTAAAAAAAGAGCAAATTTACTTCAAGTTCTTATTATGACCTCTCTATTTCCTTGTAATTTTATTCTTCGCGTACACCGGCTGAAACTATACTGGAAAGTTCTGATTGTTCACCTCAGGAATTTAGTTTTGTTCAAGAGCCCGAGTGTTGTGTACACATCCGTTTTGCATAGCTGACTAATCTGTATACAAATAGTTAGTTCCTTGTCTTTCGGGCAGATGCACTCCTATTTCGAAGCAAGCACCTAATTAGTCGACTCCTACGACATGCTTGTTAGCGCCGCATTGGGTCTATTGTTGTTTTTCCTATAATGTGACTCCAGATGCAAACGGGGATTTACTTGTAATAATCTGTGTAGATATAGACTGGTGACAGCTGAAGAGAGTAGATCCTGAATAACTTTGGCTAAAAAGACAATTAAGCGGTGCCTGCAACGTTGAATAGTTTAGCAGAAGAGATGAATAGATATAGGTACCGCATGACAGAGAAGAGCAGCACAAAGTTGTAATTACCTTGAGCCAGGAATGCAGGGAATGGGTGGCGGGACCAGCGTACTTAGAGGTTCAACAGCTGATAGAGGACAACTCTAGGCTAGGAGATGTAATTGATTACACTGATGGTTCAGTGGCCAAGGATAGAAAGAATTGGCGGAACTTTGTTTCAAAAGCATGGAGGAGACGGATATTGAGGAGAGTTTGGCATACGACATTGTCACGTGGAGGTTGATGCGGTAACTGCGACGTTCAGATGGGTGGAGAAAATCTCAGCCTCGCATTTGTCAAAGTATCGGATTCACAAAGCATATTCACTAAATGTGGAGTCAAGTTTTCTCTATATGGAATGGGTCTCATCAACCCAGAGACCGCAGATGATGGGAGTCACGTGGAAATTTTGCCCGGGTCATATGAGCGTGTTTGGGAACATGCAAGCAGATGGGTTGGCTGGACTGGTCCCACTTGTGGACGTACTGCAACGGAACAAGGCACACATTTACCTAGGGCGGATTTCCTTTAACTGATTCGTCAAGCATATTGCTCAGATTTGAACAAGCATTTTTTCCCCTTCAGATTGTCTTTATTAGCCACTGCTGCTGCCAGTCTATCTACAGGGCATTCTGGCTTTGTCTTCATTACATTGTTCTTAGGGCTGTGGCAATATTCAAGCTCCTCTACCACTTCAAGGTAGAGACATGTCTCAAGCATTTTTAAATAACAAACAAATAAAAGAAAGAGTGTTTGAAGAAGAGAACATCGATTAATTTCCAAAATTGCTCAGTCTCTTTTCGCAGTGTGGCTGCTCGCCAACTGAAAACGTCGCAGAAAGCTGAAAATAGATAAAACGTGTTTGGGCTCATTGCTTACAATGGAATTTTAATAGACAGATGATTACCCTGCTGATACTTTCATCCACAACTCTTGTTTTGCTCTCTTTCTCTCTCTCTCTCTCTCTCTCTCTCTCTCTCTCTCTCTCTCTCTCTCTCTCTCTCTCTCTCTTTCTCTCTCTCTCTCAATTTCTCCCCTTTTCAGCACACCACTCCAGCGGCCTGTTAAAATGTTTGCCAAGCTGCTTTTCCAGTTGCCAGTCCACCTGTCTGTCCTGCTGTCTGTCCACCTGTCTGTCCTGCTGTCTGTCCAGCTGAATGTCCACATGTCTGCCCATCTATCTGTCTGTTCAGCTGTTTGTCTACTTTTCTGTCCAGCAGTCTGTCTAACTGTCTATCCAGCAGTCTGTCCAGCTGTCTGTTAAGTCTGTCCAGCTGTCTGTCCAGCTGTCTGTCCAGCTGTCTATCTAGCTGTCTGTCCAGCAGTCTGTCTACTTTTCTGTCCAGCAGTCTGTCTAACTGTCTATCCAGCAGTCTGTCCAGCTGTCTGTTAAGTCTGTCCAGCTGTCTGTCCAGCTGTCTGTCTAGCTGTCTGTCCAGCAGTCTGTCTAGCTGTCTGTCCAGCAGTCTGTCTAGCTGTCTATCTAGCTGTCTGTCTAGTTGTCTGTCTAGCTGTCTGTCCAGCAGTCTGTCTAGCAGTCTATCTAGCTGTCTATCTAGCTGTCTGTCTAGTTGTCTGTCAGGCTGTCTTTCCAGCTGTCTGTCCAACAGTCTGTCCAGCTGTCTGTATAGCAGTTTGTCCAGCTGTCTGACAAGCAGTCTGTCTAGCTGTCTGTCTAGCTGTCTGTCTAGATGTCTGTCCAGCTATCTGTCCAGCTATATGTCCAGATGTATGTAGAGTTTTCTGTCCAGCTGTCTGTACACCTGTCTATCCAGCAGTTTGTCCAACTGTCTATCTAACTGTCTGTCTAGTTGTCTGTCTAGTTGTCTGTCCAGCTGTATGTCCAGCTGTCTGTCTAGCTGTCTGTCTAGATGTCTGTCTAGCTGTCTGTCTAGCTGTCTGTCTAGCTGTCTGTCTAGCTGTCTGTCTAGTTGTCTATACAGCTGTCTGTCTAGCTGTCTGTCCAACTGTCTGTCCACCTGTTTGTCAAAGCTACATATCCTGCAGTATGTCCAGCTGTTTGTCTAACTGTCTGTCAAGCTGTTTGTCCAGATGTTTATCTAGCTGTCTGTCTAGCTGTCTGTCCAGCTGTCTGTCTAGTAGTCTGTCTTACTGTCTATCCAGCTGTCTGTCCAGCTGTCTATCTTGCTGTCTGTCTAGCTGCATGTCCAGCAGTCTGTCCAGCTGTCTGTCTAGCTGTCTGTCCAGCTGTCTGTCTAGCTGTCTGTCTAGTTGTCTGTCTAGCTGTCTGTCTAGCTGTCTGTCCAACTATCTGTCAACCTGTCTGTCCAGCTTTTTGTCTAGTTGTCTGTCCAACTGTCTTTCCGGATTTTTGTCCACCACTGTCTGCTGCTATCTGTCCAGCTGTCTCTGCAGCTATCCGTCAAGTGATATCTGCAGCTATCTGTCCAGTAATATCTGCAGCTATCTGTCCAGTGATATCTGCTGCTATCTGTCCAGTAATATCTGCAGCTAACTGTCCAGTGATATCTGCTGCTAACTGTCCAGTAATATCTGCTGCTAACTGTCCAGTGATATCTGCTGCTATCCGTCAAGTGATATCTGCAGCTATCTGTCCAGTAATATCTGCAGCTATCTGTCCAGTAATATCTGCAGCTATCTGTCCAGTGATATCTGCTGCTAACTGTCCAGTGATATCTGCTGCTATCTGTCCAGTAATATCTGCAGCTATCTGTCCAGTAATATCTGCAGCTATCTGTCCAGTGATATCTGCTGCTATCTGTCCAGTAATATCTGCTGCTATCTGTCAAGCTTTCTATCCAGCTAACTGACCAGCTATCTGTCCTTCAATATGTTCAACTATATGTCTGGCTATATGTCCAACTGCCTGTCCAGCTGTCTGTCCTGCTGTCTGTCCAGCTATCTGTCCTTCAATATGTTCAACTATATGTCTGGCTATATGTCCAACTGCCTGTCCACTGTCTGTCCAGCTGTCTGTCCTGCTGTCTGTCCAGCTGTCTGTCCAGCTATCTGTTCAGCTCCATGTCCAGCTCTCTGTCCAGCAATATGTCCTGCTGCTGACCCAACAGTCTGTCAAGCTATATGTCACTGACTGCATTTATTCGTCGTCATTAAGAATTAATTATCAGAGCAACCATTAGAGCGGATCACATCATTCAAGCAGACGTAATGATTCATTTGATTTAAATTGATTCAAGAACCGAAATCACAACACTCGGGGCATTCCCATAAGCACTCTGTCCCCATCTTCAGCAGCCAGTGAAGTGTTTCGATACTAATGGTGCCAGTAGCATTCTGATTAAACGTCCGTCTTGCCTTTCCTTTGAGTCTCGAGCACCTTCCAGAACCTCTCCTCACTCCCCACTAAATCAATCTCACCAGACTGTGGTGATCCATCTGCTCCTGCGAACTGTACACTCTCTCCGACAAGGTACTAACCTCGTCTGCCTTATCATGTATCAGTGTTCCACCAAGTTGTGCAGTTGTATGTATGTATGTATGTATGTATGTATGTATGTATGTATGTATGTATGTATGTATGTATGTATGTATGTATGTATGTATGTATGTATGTATGTATGTATGTATGTATGTATGTATGTATGTATGTATGTATGTATGTATGTATGTATGTATGTATGTATGTATGTATGTATGTATGTATGTATGTATGTATGTATGTCTGTCTGTCTGTCTGTCTGTCTGTCTGTCTGTCTGTCTGTCTGTCTGTCTGTCTGTCTGTCTGTCTGTCTGTCTGTCTGTCTGTCTGTCTGTCTGTATATATGTATGTATGTATGTATGTATGTATGTATGTATGTATGTATGTATGTATGTATGTATGTATGTATGTATGTATGTATGTATGTATGTATGTATGTATGTATGTATGTATGTATGTATGTATGTATGTATGTATGTATGTATGTATGTATGTATGTATGTATGTATGTATGTATGTATGTATGTATGTATGTATGTATGTATGTATGTATGTATGTATGTATGTATGTATGTATGTATGTATGTATGTATGTATGTATGTATGTATGTATGTATGTATGTATGTATGTATGTATGTATGTATGTATGTATGTATGTATGTATGTATGTATGTATGTATGTATGTATGTATGTATGTATGTATGTATGTATGTATGTATGTATGTATGTATGTATGTATGTATGTATGTATGTATGTATGTATGTATGTATGTATGTATGTATGTATGTATGTATGTATGTATGTATGTATGTATGTATGTATGTATGTATGTATGTATGGTATGTATGTATGTATGTATGTATGTATGTATGTATGTATGTATGTATGTATGTATGTAATGTATGTATGTATGTATGTATGTATGTATGTATGTATGTATGTATGTATGTATGTATGTATGTATGTATGTATGTATGTATGTATGTATGTATGTATGTATGTATGTATGTATGTATGTATGTATGTATGTATGTATGTATGTATGTATGTATGTATGTATGTATGTATGTATGTATGTATGTATGTATGTAT